CCAGATGTCCAGTTCAAAACCAGACAGTCCAGTATTTAAGCTCTATGTTTGGGAAACAAATTGAGAAAATATAAATGTCCGGTATTTTCTAAATAAGATGTAATGTAGATTGTGATGTAATGTCAAGTGTGTGCAGTTTTTTTTGTTGAAACCATCTAGCAACCCTATTGGTGTATGCTTTTCCAAAAACAATCAAATACACTCTGTTTTGGTTTTGCTTTTATGGTACATCAGTTTTAACCTAACACTGGAAAGCACAGTCTGTTACATGCCAATCTATACATTGGGTACTGTTTCTGGTACCGTCTTAAAAACATGCAGAGCGATTGTGTATTTGTTTGATGCTCCTTGTAATATAGTCATTTTGCAGGAAGCAAGATATTGCTTGTAACATTTAAATCTGGTTTAAGGTTTTTTTAAAGTTTCATAAATTGACCCATTTTTTTCAGAACTGTTAATGTTGAAGTATTCAAAAGAGTGTTTCATAAGCTGCCAAGAGGAGGTACTTAATAAACAAAAGACTCCGTTTTTATGCTGCGGGTGATGTTGTTTTTGCTGGGTGTGTGTGGGCCAAAGATTATGTGCACACACTTCGTGCAGTTGCAGTATGCTTTTTGTTACAAAGATACAGCTACAGTGTTCAGTTGACTATTCTGTTACTGTGGACTTAACTCCTGACCTCTGGCTGGCTAGTACATTTCTGAAATAAGTGAATAATTCTGCCAATGGAATACTCCATTTCTGCCTTTTGCATTAGGAGCATTAGGACCTTTCCTAAATTTGACTGAAGCTTCTGAATTGCTATGTTTCAACTACTGGGATATTTTCTTGTTATAGTAGGTTCCTTTGGATGTAAGGATAATATCTGACTTGGAGAGGGTAACTTGTTCTTCACACCCATAATTAATGTGTTGCTATATCTCTAGTACTGCCCTTCCATTCATAGTGAGGCAGAGCTGTCGTTACATGCAGAATATACAACTGCATAAGACACCCAAAAATTTGGGGCACCACTGGGTCTTAATGTCTAATCACCTGCCTCTTCCTACCCATGTTCTGTGGTCAGGGTAGTTTTTTATTTAAATCAAATTGATTTAAATGATTTAAATCACTAATTAGGAAGACTCGTTTTAATCATGATTTTCTACATAAAAGTGTTTTCTTGCTGGTTATCATAACCTTAATACATATTCTTCACAACTCAGGGATAGATATAGATTTCGTTTTTAGAAGGTACACTCTATACATTTTTTACAGTGCTTTATTTTGAAAACTTTTCAGATTACTTTTACAGCTATAGCGGAAAATGAATGATTGGTTATTTCATTTACCAAAGGTAATCGAAGCGGATAGTTCACCTCCCAGTGACTTCATAAATATCTCCAATTCAGTTTGGAGGATTTTCTTGCCATGTTGTATTAGAAGGAGACTATCACCAGACAGACATTTAAATTGCTATTTTAGTTAAATACAACAATGTTATATATGCTGGATTTTTTTTAAAGCAAACATATTTTAACAAAACAAGCATATGAATGTCTGAATTTAGTTAAACATTTGAGTCTTTTACAATTGTTTTTAACTAAAATAATTGAAATATTTTTAAACAAAATTAAATTGACTGGTCAACACGAACTTAAAATGTTGGCTTCTATTCATTGTGCTTTCTGAAACTGCACTTTTAGAGAGAGGTAGGGAATTGGCTCTGTATATACAAATCTGCAGAAGGACAATAGGGTAGAGTTCTGTTTTTTCTCACCTTTTTGTATAATTGATTTATTTAAAAACATTTTTGCTATTAACAAGCATGTTAGCTCTGGAGATACAAATGCACAGTTTAAGAACGACAGAACTAAGCATTTCTGATGTTATCTTCTAGACTCAGCAATGAATCCCATTGGGTAGCTAGATTATTTAGGTTAATCTTTCTATACAGAAGACTTTGGGACTCCATAAGATTAGGTCCCTAATCCATGAACTATTGGAACTCATTTTCAAAACTTCTCTTAAACATTACATGAATTGGAATTTATAATTGCTATTCCATGATACATCATAGCTCAAAAATCTATCTTAATTCAAACTGTCTTTACATATTTTTTTCTCAAAAAGCATTTAATTAAAAATCAGATTTAAATTTAAAAAATCCGCTTTTTTATTTTTATTTTTTTAAACCATTGTTTTTTACCCACCCTGTCTGTGGTTCGGCTTCTTCCGAAGAGGATCTAGTTAACTTAAGAGACCTAGCCTGCCAGACCTATTAGCAGAACTTTGAACTTGTCAAAGAGGCTTTCAAGCAATAATGAAGCCATTTAACAGGCGTTTGCTAACCCCAGGTATATACTGTCAGTTTCTGAATTTACTGTGTTAGTCTACACCACCTTATTTAAAATTTGCTTTAAAATATTTCATTAGTATGTTGCTGAAGATTAAAAAGAGCAACATCTCTCAAAAAAATCATCATTCCCCTGCCTCGGCTGAGCCGGGGGGGGGGACGGAGGGACAGTGGCAGAGGTCCATAATTGACCTCCCCTTGTCCGGTCAAATCCTTCATCCGGGATCAGTCAGGACCTTTGGGCTGCCATTGGGCATAGGGGTATTAGTTTAATTAGTACTGTGGAGGACACCATAAATCCTAACGATAGCCCTGCTATGAGGAATCTTAAAGATTAACAAGTTTATTAGAGCATAAGCTTTTGTGGGCTGCAGCTCACTTCATCAGATATGTGGATTGAAAACTTCCACTGGCATACATGCATACAAACCTAGATGGGAGTGTTACATCAGTGCTGATTAGGCTGAGTCAATCAGGGTGGATATGGCCCACTTCCAACAGTTGATTATAAGGTGAGAATACCGAAAGTGGAAAAATTACTTAATGTAATGAGCTAGCCATTCCCAGTCCCTATTCAGACCCAGTCTGATGGTGTCAAGTTTGCATTTGAAATTCAGCTCAGCAGTTTCATGCTGCATTGTTTTTGAAGCTTTTTTGCTCAAGTATGGCAACTTCCAAGGCTGTAACTGTGTGTCCACAGAGGTTAAAGTGCTTTCCTACTGTTTCCAGTCTGAAGTAATAGTTTGAAGACAGGATGGAAAGAGGAGTCCTTGTCTCTGAGTTGATAGAAAGAAATATTTTATCAGTCTTGTTTCAAAGACAGTGGTGTGTCATTTTCTGTGTGGTGAAATCCTTGTGCTGTTTTTGTGTGTCTCTTATGCAATTATATAATGAAATTATAGTGCTTTAATAACTTTAAAGGACTGCTATCCAAGAAAACCTGCAGATATTTTAGTTAAATTTAACTAGTGGCTATTTAATACAAATTATGAGAAGTGTTCATTTGGTTGTGCTCCTGCACTTGGCTTCATACAGGAAGACCCAGATGCCCATGCGCAGTCCCATTGATTTTTAGTGGGGCTCTGTATGAGCATAAGTCCCCCAACATAGGTCATATTTCAAGTATAGAACTAAAGAATGTTTTAGTGTTTTAGAACATTATAAATCAAGGTAAGTCATTTTTTTTGGTCAGTGTACTACTTTCGTGATTAAGGTACAAACTCCAGAGAAGAAAACATTAGTTTATAATTTATTCTTTATTTTTATTTTATTTATTTAAGTAAAAAAGATTTGGGGTTATGTTCAAAAGCATCTGGCGGTCCTGCTTTGGCTTGCTGTCTGACAATAGACAAATTCATTCTAAAATGTGAAAGTTTATACAGTTCTTGGCTAGAATTAAAGGGAAAACATCCACTTGAAATACTAACATTTCTGTCTGGAGAAAATTGTACTTGGTAGAGTTACAAGTAACACATGCGATTACCTCTGCTGCCTCATAGACAGAGGGGGGCCATCTTTAAGGCATATACTGGCTCCCACCAAGCTGCTTGCAGCACGGGGTGGGGGGACATGCGGCAGCATACAGGGAGCCTATATCGGGGCAGCAGCGTGGCAGGAGAGGTTTACACATTCAGAATGTACATGTTTATGCAAATAAATGCATTTTAACATCCCTAATTTCCACAGTGGAGATTTCTTTTCAGTAATTTTGAAACTTTTAACCTTGTAGTGAATATACATCAGAACAAAATGCTTGTGATGGGAAGAAGGACCACTTTTTAAGATATGACCTTTTATGGTTTGGAACTTCCGTTTTTACATTCTGAAGAGTCATGATATTGATTGTGCTTAATGTTGCAGAAATACTAATTACCCATAAAACACACTTATTAAAAGGTATCGCTCATGAATTGTTCATCAAACTTGATTTAGTGTTTTTTCTATCTTTTGTTTTATACTACATAGGAATGTAGGCAACTAGTTGAGTAGTGACTCGACTAGTTGCTTCCCTCTCTCCTCCCCCCCACTCCCCCGCTGCCTCTATCAGAGAAAGGCAGCAAGGCGGGGAACAGGAGCCGGTGATGGGAGGAGCCGGCTTAAAAGCCCGTTCCCCCTGGCACCATTTCCGCACCTCTGCTTTTTCAGTGTATTAAGAGCCGTCAGGACAGCTGATTCCCAGCTCGTGTCCGGTCCCCCAAGCTACACCCCTACCTTTTAAATGTATTAAGAGCCTATATTAAATACTTACTCTTAAAACGCAGAGACGCAGCCTCAGAGCTAACCCCATTTGGCTCTGTAGTCCCTCCCCCCCCTTATTGATTGATCAATTACCTGATTAAATGCAATTTAACATCCCTAATACTATAGCATCTGAACATTTATCATATAAAACCTGTTAAAAAGTCCTTAGTAAATTTTATATAATCTCCAGTTCTCTTCCTTTTTCAGGGTGAAACACTTCTTGCGGTATTTTGTTTGTTCCAATTTTTTTTTGGTGGAGAGGATGTGTGCTAGTAGAGGAGCATAACACCTTTTTAGCTCATAACTTCTGCAGTTTGTCTAATGGCGAAAAGAACTAAGTGAATTAAGTTTAGTTTTTGTTACAAGAGTCTATCTTTTGTCTTTCTTTTGATTATCTCAGATTTTCTATTTTCATTTTTTACAGAATTGAGGACTACTGTAAAGCTTGACAAATGCATTCCAGACTGGAACACTGCTGCATTCCTCCTCTTCCTCCTCCTCCTCCTCCTTTAGAGAATTGACTTCTTAAAACGGAGGTAAAGTTGGACATGGCACATGTGCTATAGCCAATTTTTATACCAATCACGACAAACAGAGACATGTATTTTTAGTAACTTCTCTGGTGTTTCCTATGGTATCTTTAAATAAACATATGCAGGTGTCATACAAATCAACTGCTAATGACTAGATTCCAAAATCTACTTGTGAATGACATTATTTGATATTTTTGCTTTCAATTTAGTTGCTTTCTATTATTGATAGTATTGAATGCAGAAAGCAGTGTTACTGAAATGAGGTGTTTCTTAAACTTTAGTAAATCTACAGTTGTTGCTGTTACTACCTCTGTTTAAGTATCTCAAAAGATCTGCATGCTTAAGAAATACTTAAGATCAATCTTTGCTATGAAGAGCATATATTCTCACGGCATAATCATACAGCTGCTTAGTGCAGGGACAGGCAAGATATGGTCGGATCTGACCTGTCAAGCCTTTTAATCTGTCCTGCAGCCTGCACTGCTGGGACACTCAGGCATGAAGCAGCTCCATGCCATTCAAAGTTGCTGGATGCTCATTGTGACTCTGTGCTGCTCTCTGGGGGAAAGGGGAGAAAAGCTCTGTATGCTGCCCCTGCCCCCAGCATAATCTTGCAGCTCCTATTGGCCAGAAACCATGTGAAGCCTCCTACCTCCCCACCGCTGAATGGCGCAGAGAGCCACATGGAACAGCCGTGAGTGGTGTGGGACTGCTTGTAGGCAGGGACCCTGCCTGAAAGTCTCGCTGGGCTGCTCTCTAGGAGCTGTCTAGACAGGGGCAGTGCATGGGGACTGGACTCGATGACCTCTCGAGGTCCCTTCCAGTCCTAGTATTCTGTTATATAAGAGATGGGAAAAGGCATGACCTTACCAAACTGTCAGCCTGGCCTCACCCAGACCCCACTCCCAGAATGCCTAATGTAGGTGTATTGGGGGTGGAGTGTTGCTATCCCGAGTGTCCACCTTTCCTATGCTCCAGGGCTGGCAAATAAAATCTGTCCATCAGTCGTACAAGGGAATGTGCAAACAAGGGACAAATGGGACATGAATAAGTGGATGGCAAAGCAAGATGGCCATATAATAGTGTTTAGCTCACTGGGTCACCTTGAGTCCACTTTTCCAGGATGATGGGTAAACAGCCTCCCCATAAAAAGACAAAAAGTGGGGGAATGAAGGAGAAAGAAAGAGCCTGAAGCATGGGCCTGGCATAAGGCCTGTGACCTGAACCAAAATAAGCAAAAGTTATAGTATAAGTAACAAACAGGCCTTATCAAAAACAAATGTTTGCTTGAAAGTCAGTGTTCTGACCATAAACTTGGCACTAAAACTAAAAGCACATAAAATATGTAAATACATTCCACCAGGACAATACAAGGACACCCCAACTTAGCACATAATAAAATAGTTTAAATAATGATATTGTGTCTGAAAACAACAGGAATTGAACGCATAGTAGGTGGTGAATAGGAATGTTTTGGTGGAATGTACAGCGGGAGGTACTGAATGTGTCATGAATGAGTGAAATGGCATGTAAGGTGTTTATCAGAAATTTAGGTGTCTCCATCTATAAATGTTGGGGTACTTCAATTTAACTCTTTGTCCAACCTAGGGAGCAATAGCGAAATCTATACTATTGACTGTGCCACGTCTATTGTCATGGGTACAAAAACATAGGACCTCAGAGGCCATCTGGCTTCCAATGACTATTAATGTACTTTGACAATAAACCTGACTCAGGTGCCTTCATATCTTACCCGACTCTGTGATCTTTGGGAGCTCTTGTGAAGTCTGTTACACTAGCTCTACCTGCATAGAGCTGGCGTGATATATTAAGGGAACATTATAAAAACACATGCAGACAAATGTTTATCATCACTGATGGAGCATGAGACCTGTCAGGGTTCCACACTGGAACATTATAAAAACACATGCAGACAAATGTTTATCATCACTGATGGAGCATGAGACCTATCAGGATTCCACACTAGCGATTTACTACATCGCTGTCCTGAGGTCCTACACTTTTCAGACCCCACACCCTTTCCTGCATTCCAGCTCCCTTCGGCATCCAACCTCCATCCCCGACCCATCACCTCTTCCATAGAAATTAGCACTTGGAGTGACTCCCCCATCAAAAATTATTGCCCACCCAGCCTAATGGTGGTGCAGTGCTTGTTGTCATGAATAATCCTGTTCAAACAAGCAAAATCCTGAAGAAACATTCTGTGGCATTCCAAAGAAAAGTTTTGTAATCTTTATTTCTAATTAAATATGTTCCATTTATCAAACTCTTGGTTCTCCTGTTAAATCAAGAGAAGAAAAGTTGTAGATTCATAGTGTGTGTGGGGTGTGGGGTGTTTTTTCTTGTAAACAATCAAGAGAAGAAAAGTTGTAGATTCATAGTGTGTGTGGGGTGTGGTGTGTTTTTTCTTGTAGACCAGAGAGGAGACCATTACAGAGAGGAGACCATTATAATGATCTAGTCTGACCTCCTTTATATTTCTGGACATAGAATTATATATCCTTATTAGTCTGTAACTTTAAAACAATGAGTAGTTATGTGGCACTGTAGAGACTAGCAAATATATTTGTGTTAGTTCTCTAAGGCTACGTGTACACTACACAGTTATTTTGGAATAAGCTAATTCCGAAATAACTTATTTTGAAAAAGCACGTCTACACTGCAGGAAAGCCTCAAAATTATTCTGAGCCAGGCTTCCCTAAGGTAGACCTGCTATCTTGATTTAGAGCCCCAGGAGGAATGACTTAGAATGGCCCTGGTGAGGGGCTATTTTGAAATAGCAGAAGTGGAGTGTCTATACAGCCCCTATTCTGAAATAACTATTTTGGAGTAAGCGTTATTCTTTGTAGAATGATGTTTACAAAATTTGGAATAATCTGTCCATTATTTTAAAACAAATAACAGAATTGCTGTGTAGGCACTCGCATAGTTATTCGGAATAACAGCTGTTATTCCACAATAACTTTGCTGTGTAGACACACCCTAAGGTGCCACAACACTACTCGTTTTTATAAAATTATATAGTAGTAATTGTATTATGCCTGTTGAACAAGAGCATATTTTTTAGAAAATATTGGCTAAAAACAAATAGAAAAAGTAATGTTTCATTTAATATACATTTTTAACCCTGCATTTCTTATACTTTTTTTGTTTTCCTAATTCTCAGTGTTTTTGTTTATAGTACTCTTATTACCGTCTGAGACCTGGATCTTGCAAATTGTTATGTGTGCAATTAGTGTGTGAGTGAGAGACAAGTATCACGGACATTACTGAGACTACTCATGAATAAAGTTGAGCTCCTTACAGTTATTTTTAAGCTTTCTTAAACTTCAGGATAAGAGACTGAATATACTCTCTTTACTGTGAACTATGGACAAAATCTTAAACTTCAGGATAAGAGACTGAATATACTCTCTTTACTATGGACAAAAGAATTAAAAAGAAAATGAGGTTATTTAATACATGTGACGAGAACAAATCTTATTAAAATATTTGTGCGTGTTAATGCCTCTGGCTGGAGGTAAATATGTTAAGAGTCTGTGCTTAGCTCTGTAACAATTATCCTATGTGTTCAGGAGCAGTATTAAAATGTTTAAGTGAATAAATATAATCTCACTAGTTCCAATCAGGAGAAATGGATAAACATGAGTCACTATTCTACCAGGGTTCTCTGAAATTGTCATTGCCCCCAACTTCTGTATTGCTGCAGGAGACTTGTGCGACAGAGTAGACATGTGAGTCTTAAATCTTGCTGTGGTAAGAAGTTACACATTTGAACATGGCATGACAGACCAGCACTTTCAACCCCATTCTCTGTCTGGCAAGCAGGCACCACTACGCCATGGAGGTACAGGCAAGAAGTTGGGCAACCTAGGGGGAAAAGTGACATTCAACAAAACCTTTAAAAAAATATTGCCTATGAGCCTCTTGAATTTATAAACACATCGCTAGGGCGCAAGCCAAACTTAAAAGTCCCTTGCAATTTTTTTTGTAAGAGTATAAGTATATTAAACATGGTGACCTGAAGAAATTCAGCATTTTTCTTATCTACCTTTTCTCAATTTTAGTTAGAAAAGAAATTCTTCATAGTTTTCCTGCCCTAAACTTTTTACTGTGAAGTGATGAACAATCATCTCATTTTACCTACAATCTATCTGGTTTTCAGTGGTAGGTGTAGTAACTTATTTACCCAGATGATCAGAGCATTTCCATTCTTCCTTATATAGATCTTGGCTGCTGTACCAGGAGTCTTCAGTCTGAATTATGTAATACAAGTTGTACCTCCCTTAACCAGGACTTCCTGGTCTGGCAACATCTGTGGTCAGGCGAACTTGTGTGTGTGTGGGGGGGGAAAGGGGGGGGTTCTGGCTATAGCAGTGGTCATGGAGTTCAGTCCCGACAGTGGCCAGGGAGCTCTGTCTTGAGCTGTGCAGTTCCGGCCTCAGTTGTACAGCTCTGTTCCCTGCAGCGAGACAAAGCAGCTATGGAGCTCTGCCCCAGCAGCGACGATCTGGCTATGGCACTCTGCCCCGGCAGCAGCAGGGCTGGCAGCACTTAAAGAGCCGTAGGAGGCTGGGGCAGCAGCGGGGGCAGGCTGGAGTCCTAACCTGATGGCAGCACAGCCCAGGAGGGGAGAGACCTTCCCTGGTCCGGCAAATCCCCTCGTTTGGGACCAGTCAAGTCCTGGGGTGCCTGTAGTAAAATATGCTACAATTTTCAGATAAAAGGCATGGTAGAATCCTAGAGCTGGAAGAGACCTCAGAAGATCATCAAGTCCAGCCCCCTGCTCTAGGCAGGACCAATCCCAACTAAATCAACCCTTAAACACCTCTAGGGTTGGAGACTCCACTACTTCCCTAGGTAACCCATTCCAGTGCTTCACCACCCTCCTAGTGAAACAGTTTTTCCTAATATCCAAACTGGACCTCTCCCACCACAACTTGAGACCATTGCTCCTTGTTCTGCCATC